TTTTTAAAAAAAAAAAAAAAAATACTTTCCCCCCCCCCCCTAGGACTGATACAGGGAGAGATCGGCATTTGTTCGCATCCCCTTCCCCCCCCCCAGATTCTGGTGCAACCCTCCCCCCATGTCCCGATCTTGGGTCGCCGGCAGTCGTCCACGTCTTGCCCCCCCCCTGCGAGTCGCGACACACAGGGACTCGTGCCAATCATCCTGATACGGCGGATCACGTTTGGTGCTCGAACATCTCGAAGCGGCGTGCAGATAGAAGAGACAGATGCGACCATCATCTCGGATCTTCTGGTTTTGTTCGGCCAGCGGGATGGATGGATGGATGGATGGATGGGTAGGTGGGTGGGTGGGTGGATGGAAGGATCGGAATACGGGTTGGTTGTATTTAGGGAGAGAGAGTCAGAGAGCTGCAGTCATGATGATGATGATGATGATGATGATGATGATGATGATGATGATGAAGAAGAAGCGATGCCGAAGTGGGATGTGGGATGGGGGAATGTGGGATGGGGGATGGGGGCATGGGCCATGGGCCGTGGGCCATGGGGGGTGTGGGATGTGGGGGGACGGCGCCAGGAATTGATTAATCAATAAATTACCCCACACGGGAGTCCCGCGCCAACCACCCAACCCGGCTGATGACTGAGTGGACTGTAAGTATTCTGGACTTGGCCCAATTCTTGACTGACTGGCATTTGTGATTTGGGGCAGCCAGCCCGCAGCAGCTCTCATGGGAGTACTGGGAGTACTGGGAGCAATGGGAGGAATGGTAATAAGAGCAGTAGTAGCAGTAGTAGCAGTAGTGTAAAACTTGACTTGCCGAGGAAGGAAGCCGAGGGAAGTAGTAGTACTACTACGTACTACGTAAGTCACTTGGGTGCATGTGCCTATCCGGAGGGGTGTCTGTCACATGACCATCGACTCACCCGGATGGGCGGAATGGATTTCATTATCTCTGGAACAGACTGACGGATAAAGAAATGTCGACCGCCGGATACGGAAGGGTCGGTCGGTCGGTCGGTCCTCTCATCTTCAGCAGACTCAGAGAAGCCAAGTCCCCCACGTGTTGCCCGTCCTGGACCCTGATAGGACCATCCTCTCCCTTCCGAAGCGAGGCCCCCCCCGATGGGACTTCAGCCTTGGAAGGGGGAGGATGACGATGATATGCATCACCATCGTGTACAGTTCTACGTATCGGTTCCATACCGACATGCTGCAGAAGACGATGCAGAAGACGCTGCAGAAGGAGGAGAAGAAGAAGAAGGAGAAGAAGAAGAAGCAGAAGAAGAACCAAAAAAAGAAGAAGAAGAAAACCAGAATAAACAAGGTTTGAAACTTGGCACAAAACAAGGCCCCGTATCCCACTGACCCTTCTCAGGGCTGAAATGGGGCAGGTTCACCGCCTCCTGCACGCATGGGGAAGAGGACAAACGTACATCCGTCCGTAGCCAGGGTCCTCTAAGTAGGCAAGGTCTTCTTCGCGTGGGGGAACGGGGGACGGGGGAAGGGGGAAGGGGGGAAAAAGGGGGAAAAGGGGAAATGAAGAAAGGGGGAAATGAAAAAAGGGGGAAAGGGGGGGTCCGGGAGCATTTTCCGCATTTTTAGTACTGTACAGTAAGTACAGTAGTAGTACTCGCCGCAAGTACCTACTGCACCGGTACGCACGCACGGTACGCACGTACTACGTACTACTACTAGTACGTAGTGTAAGTAAGGGGGTTCTGCTTTTGGCTTTGATGCACAAGAATTATCCCGTGGATATACTTACATCCGGAGGATATCATCAGACTTCTCCCACCCCCGGGCGCGGGTGGGCGGATCAAGGAGATTCGCCGGAACGCCAATAAACCATGAATTACGGCGGAAGAAGGGAGAGAAGGGGGCAGCGGTGAGGCGAGACATACCAAGCGAGAGAGATACGTAGTAGGTAGGTACCCAAGCTCGTTTGGTTTCGTTTGGTTTGGTTTGGTTTGGTTCTATTGCCGTTGCCCGAACTCCCGAACTACCGATCGAGAAACGGATGAGATGGGACGGGTCTCCCCTACCTCGGTGCAGTCGATCCGTTGCGCCTGATTGATGATTCACGATCTGGCTGATGGATCATAGATAGATCGGCGTACGGAAGGAAGTGGTAGTATCGAGCCGATCACGTGACCTGACCGATCCCCCCCATTATTGCTCCGGACTCCGCACGAACGGGACAGGCCCAATTTCAGCCGCAAAAAGCGGGAGAGCCCCCCCTTCCCCCTCGGGCTCGACAAAGCTCAACGACAAAGCTTATGTATGTATGTATGACCCCTTGGCCGTCCCCCTCTGCGTAGCTGCCGACCCGAGTCTTACTTCTGCAGTACGGACTACGGACAACGCAGACCGTAGTACGGGATGAGACGGATTGGGATTCATAGCCCCGCTGCCGTCATGATCGACGCTCGGCCCTCGACATTTCGTAGTGGTCGTCGCGAGTATGCAGAGCAGAGAGAGGGGGCCGGGGAGACCAGTCAGCCTGTGTATGCCCTGATCTACCGGTATCTGTCCCCGCTGCTTTCTCGCGATGGAAGTTTCTGCAGCTTTGGACTTTGAATTCCCGAGATAGCAGCTACCCGCCCCATGTCTGTCCGAGTGCGAGAGCTGAGATCCGTCCGGACGGGCTAGTTGGTGCCTTCTTTCGATGCTACATACTGTATCGGGGAGCAGCAGTTGTGGTGTTGGTTGGGTGCCGACGACGTTCCGCTGATGTGCTAGCTAGCTAGTTAGCTACGAACTAGGCCCGAGACGATACTGGCCGAATATATATGGGGTATGGGGTATGGGGTGTTGGCTTCCCCAAGGCGAGGGAGGAGTGTGGACATTCTCACCACCCTTGTTGCAAGTGATGGCTGGCTGGCTGCAGGTAGACCAAATAGAGAACCAATATCGGCTTTTCATAACGCGGCAAGCCACCTGGGATTCCAGTTTCGGTATGGCGATCGGAATACTGTCGATCTGTCGCTCCTGGAGAGCTCGTTGTGCCGTCTATGCCAACCCGGAGACAGGCTCTGACGTATTGGGCGAAGACAGGCCCGGCTTGTCTTGATGCAGCAGGTTGGATTTTGGTGCATCTTTCGAAGGTCCCTCCGGCATCTGCCCATTTGACTCGAGCCGTGAGGGAGGCGGGATGTTTTGCCGGCGAGGTATGCAGACGTTACCGATCGACCAACCATATACCGCAAGTCAGTTTTCAAAGTTGTGGATGATTAGCACATAATGAAGGCAGAAACGGAGAAGCCGCGCAGACCAACTCTTGGCAGCACATTCAGAATCCAAAGAAGGACCTGATCCAGAGGACCCAATCCGTGGAGATCACCTCATCACAACCAGTGACCAAATTCTCGTACGTCAAATAAGGTTCATTTCGCTATGCGCATCTTGCCATACCTAGAAAGCAAACTACCGGCGCGAGAGACTTCTGCGCGAGAGACTTTACAATACTCAAGCCTGGATCCCTAGAGGGCACCATAGTTAGGGACAGACGTCACAATACTCAAGCCTGTTCTACATACCTAGAAAGCACGATAGGCAAACAGAGGCGTCACAACACGCAAGCCTGATATACCCAACGAAAGACCTATGCCTGGAGAACATCGCCATGGGCAACCTTATCTTCAGAACGAGCCCTAGCAAGCAAGTCAATACAAATCTTGAAAGCGAAGATGAAATAACGTACCAAGGGCAGCCGTGTACAGCAGAGCAAACAGTCTCGGCGCGGGCAACCTTGTCCTCGGAACGAGCCCTGGCAAGCAAGTCAACACAAACCAGTACCAGAAGAGGATATATGAATGATATACCAGGGGCAGCCGCCGTTCGAGCAAGTAAACTCGGCGCGGGCAACCTTATCCTCCGACCGAGCCCTTGCCAGCAAGTCAATACAAGCATGGCGGCACGGGGGAAAAAAGGTTAGGCAGGACATACCAAGGGCAGCCGTGCCCAATAGCACAAGCACTCTCAGTGCGAATGGCAAGGTCGGTCATGAATGAGCCAATGGGAAAGGCGGTAGCAGTGAGGGCGAGGGCTGCGAGGAGCAGCAGAATGAAGTTGCAAGTGTTAGGCGACATCTTGACGGGTGGATGACTTTGACGCGTGTATGCCTGCTCCTTCTTTGGAGTGTTCCAGACGAGATGAACTGGATGAAGCTAGAAGGGCGAAGAACCAGCGTGGGAGGCTGACGATGGAAAGGTGGAAGAAGAAAGGAGGCAAGATGAAGGGATTGAAAGTTGTAGTTAAACAGTGTGGGGCCGCTAGTGAAAGTCTCTATCTAGCGTACACTCGGCAAGATGTCACGGGATCTCCCGATCAAGCAACAACCAGTTCCAGCAGGCAGAGGGGAATTAGCAAAGGGAACAAAGAAAGCTCTCCAAGGTCAGCGGAATGCTGGCGGATAGTTCAGTGCAGGGATTCAATCCTCAAAGCAAAATAAATATAGCCGATGCCTTGTCAGGGGCTAAAGCGCCCTCTTTGTTTACTGTTTTCCCCACGGGGAGGATTGCTTCACGACCAAGTTGAAAGATCCAAGACCAGCTTCTGCCCTTGACATTATTCATGATTGTTTGACATGTTCTCACGACTTTGCAAGGATCTGGCTTTGCTGTTGCAGGATTTAGATTTAGATCGTGAGCGCAACAGTATTTACATTCGCAAAAGAGAAAAAAAAAACATCTTGTCAACAAGTGGAAGCCAGAGCCCCCCAAAATGCCTACCCAAAATGTCTAACCCTTGTGGTCGTGGGGACCCCGGGCTTGGAAGTGAAGCGAAGCGGCTGAAGAAAGATCTGATCTCTGATCCCTGCCTGGGTACCGAGATAAGATAAGATAAGATAAGATAAGATGCGGAGGGCGGGTCGGTCCGGGCAGGAGATGTCATATCACATGCATCTATACCAATGACGTGGAGCATTCCATTCCAGCTGACGGAACAAGGAAAGGGAGGGAAGTGTGGAATAATAAACATCAAAACATCTAGACATCAAAGCATCAAAACACCAGAATACCAACAGATTCAAAATCCATACATACAAAACATACCATATATCCAAAACCTACCTATACCCAGCCCATCTTCCTTTCCACCTCGCCTCTCGATGAGTAAGTAGTACCTACATAGCCTAATGATAAATTGTCGGAGCGGTTTCTACGTGCAACTGTCCAGAAAACATGTCAGCATCACCGCCTACATCTAGTGACCATTCGCTGGCTGCGTCGCAGCAATTCGAGGTCATCTCGTCGCCCAATGTCGATATCGATGCCGACCTCGACCTCGACCTCGACCTCAACCTCGGTCTCGGCGAGCCACGAACCGCAGAAGCAACGCCAGAGAAACTCCCGCTCCCTACAGTAAGCCACGAATTGGCCAATGCGGACCACCGAGAGAAAGGCGCCGCTCAGATGGAGCACGGCTATGCTGAGGTGAAAGACTTGGGATGGAATGATAGTCCCCCAGATATCCCGACTCCCCTGGTTGGAGGGCTGCCAAACGAAGAGCTGTGGACCCTGATCAGACGCTTCAACAAGGTATGTACGGTAGATCCTAGTTTCAGAGTATACCTACCTCCCTGTGCGGGTGCTGACCATGGCAGCAAATGTACCACGTCAAGGCAATGGCAGAGCCCCCCCTCGGAGGACTCGACCTCAACATCGCAGACGAAGAAGACTTCTCTCCGGATAAACTAAGGGCCAACTTCGAGAGACTGTACATGACCGTGGGCCTTGGTGTGGTGGGCTTCTGGAAACACATCGCGCGCCTACGATCATGGCGCGAACGAAACCGAACTCTTGCCTTTGCGGCCGTCTACTTCGTGGCCTGGGCGATCGATTTCCTCGTACCGGTCATGATTGCCTTCCTGATCATCCTCGTCGTCTCCCCCGCTTCCCGAGACTACTGTTTTCCTCCAGCACCGATTGCTCTGATCGATTCGAAGACTGGTGGCATCAAGAAACCGACCGCGGGAGTGCTTGGCAGCGACAACAGTTTGACTGGTGCGCCAGAAAAGCACCAAGGAGAGGCGGTGGAACAAGAAGCAAGCAACTTCGTCAGTGGCTTCACATCGATCGCCATCAGCAGCGCTGCTGGCAAGCATCCCCAGGGAGATCCACACGGGAACGAGCAAGGAGCCAGCGGTGTCGAAGACCGAGCGCCTGACCCGACAGATTTGGCGATGGGTGCTGCGAATGCAAAGGACAAGGCTTCGGGGGGAGAAGCGAATGCTGTACACGACAAAACGAAGGAGCCCATGTCTGCTGTCATGTGGTCCAAGACGAGACCTGTTATGCATGCGATTGGCGGTATTTCGGATGGCTGGGAGAGATTTGGCAATGCTCTATCACCGACGGCACCATTTCCAGAGGAGAGGCCTCGCCTCAAGCTTGCTGCAGTATGTGCCCCCTCTCCGAGATCCATCCACCCGGCTTAGTCGCCCTTCGAAGAAGGATACGGACTGGCCCCTTTCTGAATTTCTCTCCACCTTATCGCATGTTGAAGCCGCTAAAAGATCTCGCAGGTCCTGGTACCAGTGCTTCTGGTTTCCATGTTCACTAGCGCCCACATGTTCATGAAGATGAATGGATTGTTTTTGGGCTTCGCATTTTTTACAGACCCATTGATCTGGCGTGCCTCTTCCTACCTCAACCAAAAGTTCCCCCATTGGCAAAAGCTTCTCGAGATCAGAAATACTCTTCTTAGAGGTGTACCTACCAATGCACAACTCACTGTCACTCTACTCCGGATTGGTGAAGCGAACAAAGCTCCACTGCCCCCTCCACCCCACTCTGGTCCACAGCCCCCAGATACCGCCCACGAGACAGCAGGTCAGAACCTTGAATACCTAGGTACGTGCTTCAAGATCGCTGTCTGTTGAGATGCTAAAATCCCTAGAAGGCGTACCTGACGACGAGATGGCTAATGCTATTCATCCGGACGACACAGCTGTAACAACTACCGCCGAAACAGGCCCAGCGAAAAAGCGGCACGGCCGCCGGATACTTGCTGCGATCAAGGGCGTGACCAAAGGGACAGTTGAAACAGCTCTTGGTACTGACCGGCTGAAAGCAGCGGCTGGAGCGGAGCATGCAAAAAACAGACTAGGCGTCCTCAAGTCGGGAGAGCATGAGCCAGCTGGCCCTATTGACTTCCCAAGCCGATACAAAGGCAAGAAGGGACGTGCATACCTTACTACCACAGCCTCTTCGCCTGTTCTGAGTTGGACGACGCAGAAGGAGGATACGGATCCATTGTTCTCGATCGCAATAGCCGACATGCAGGAAATCAAAAAAGTAGGTGGATTGGGCTGGAAAACCAAGCTGGTTGTCGGGTGGGCTACCTCCCGGGAGATTGCAGATGGACTGGTTGTCATCGACAAGCAGGGCAACGAGAAGCATCTTACGGCTATGGCACTTCGGGACGAGCTCTTCAACCGTCTGATAACAATGGGATCCCAGATGTGGGAGTCGTGGTAGAGATTGAGAAGGCATGCGCAAGGGAAAAGGATTTGTGAAAGGACCAGAGCTCTTTTTTGTTGATAGTAGTATTTTTTGTATTGCCAAGTACGGGCGCACCATTCGAGCAGCTCGATGAAAAGCTAGTAGTATGTCCCTCTCTGCATGAGAATCCAGGCTAGGGCTTCTAGAAATAGATCCAAGCTCAAGGAAGAAGATCAAAGTAGAAGATGGACGGTGAGCGGGTGAAGGAAGGCACGAGGGAGGGACAAAACTGAGAGCGCTGGGAAGGATGTGAATGATGCGAAGAGCAAATGGATAGGCATTAATTATCGGTACCTACAGTCGGTGACCCAAGATTCTCTCTTCTACGGAGGGGTATGGTGATGGTGGGGTACCCGGTCACACGTGACGAGTTGCATTGGCTCTTGGCTGGTTTTGCGCGGGTCCTAATCAGCTTTTCCATCGCGTGCGTATCAAGTAGGTATTTTCTTCTCTTGAGCCCCTGGACAGGCGGAGGTGTGCAGATAGGTACCGGTACGTAGTTATGTGGCTCGGTCGCTTATGGCGCCCGTCCGTATCCGGACGAATTCATTCGGAGATCCTCCTCCCTCTTTACTTCCCTTAGGAAAAAGACATGAAAGAAAACCAAACGGACGAATTCATTCGGAGATCCTCCTCCTCCCCCTGCCTCTAGGGGGAAAAAAAAAAAAAAGAAACAAGCTCGACCTCTCTCAAGCCATAAAGGCTGTTGTATTCAAGCTGAAATTCTTCTATAAGTAGGTAGGTAAGGGCAGCTCAGGATTTTCCAATAGAAAACAGAAAGAGAGAAGGAAAAAAACTTTAGGAGTTTGCTTTCTTTCCTCCCCCCTTATTTTTTTTTAATTTTTTAATTTTTTAATTTTTAACTTTTAATTTTTATTTTTTGGATTGTGATTTGGCTTGCTCCGATCCGTTTGTTTATATTCTATAGTAGGAAGCTCGCCTAGCAACTTTAATCTTACAACGTCACAGGGCATCTGGTATAGTAGTAGCCAGCCATAGGGCCTGCCATCGCCTGGCACACGTTCGTGATTCGACAGTTTACGAACGCACAGCTCTTTAGAAGATCCGCAGTAGTAAATCACATGTTGGCCTCTTGTTGACGGATGTCCTTGAAGTTACGAACGGCGTGTCGCTCTGCAATCTGGAGACAGAGGTGTGAAAGCTTGTGGAAGGAGATGGAGAAGTTGGTGGAGATGGGGAAGTTGCTGGAGATGGACAAGTTGGTAGAGAGAAGTACGGACGAAGCAGTGTGGAAAAAGATGAAGAAGGAGGGAAACCTATGGGTTTTCATGCAATTCGGTCGTCGATGGACCCACGCTAAAGGCAGGAGCTAAGTGGATGCAGCCACTCATAGAGAAGCGGGATGGGTCACATGTACCTGTGCCGTGTGGAATATTCGGTTGGTGTCGTCACGTGTCGGTCAGAGGACGGCTTCGGGGGGCCTTCTAGGGATTCTCCGACTCCGTCGTACGGCGAGGCTGAGTGCTGTGCCATCATAGTGAGCCGGTCCTTTTTACATTGTTTCCGTGTCATTCATTTTCTCTCTTGTTTGGACGAACCTACATCAATCAATCACTCTTTGATCTAATGCCCAAGTTTGAGACTGGTACTAATTGCGACTAATATTTGCGACTAATACTTTGTCAGGTTGACAGGCGGCCATGGCGGAACTCAAAGTCGACTCCGTCGCAGATGCAAAAGCGCATATCTCCCAAATCAGACATGATAAGGGTCTTGTGGACGGCAAGCCCAGCGGTCCTAACATCTCTGATCTGGAAAATGCCTTGACAACGTACGGAAGTCCTCCCCCATCTCCCCATCTCCCCCTCCCTCCCTCTGATCCATGTCCAACTAACAAGCCCCCAAATAGCCTCTCCGAGCAACTCTATCAATCCTCTACACACTTTCTGCTCGAGATCATCCAAAACGCCGACGACAACCAGTACTCAGCCGCCGTCCCAAGTTTGGAGTTCACTTACAGGAAAGGCGGGCTGAGAGTGGATTGCAATGAGATTGGTTTCTCACCCCGGAATGTCGAGGCCATCTGTAGAGTGGGCCAGAGCACAAAGAAGGGGATGAAAGCTGAGGGGTATGTGGGCGAGAAGGGAATTGGGTTTAAAAGTGTTTTTAAGGCTGCTGATGTTGTTTGGGTGCAGTCGGGGCATTATTCGTACGTACGCTCGGTCTCTCGTGCCGTGGAGCAGCTACTAATGTGTGCGAGCAGCTTCAAATTCGACAAGAGGAAGCCTCTCGGCATGATCTCACCTATCTGGGACGACTTTCCCATGCCTGTCAGACCAGGCTACACATCCCTCTACCTCAAGCTCAGCGCAGGCTACAACACTTCCGGCCTTCTCGAAGAACTCAAAGCCCTTGACTCCCGCCTCCTTATCTTTCTTCGTCGGCTGCGCAGCGTCTCGGTTGAGATTTCACAAGGTGGAGTATTCGGCAATTTCAAGAACAGCTTCTCGCGTCAAGACCGGGGGAAAACTCTCGTCCGTCTGACCCAGAACAAGGTAGATTGCGATTACATCATCAAGCGACATCGTGTGCTGGGTATGCCTCAAGATAGACGGAGAGATGGGACGACAAGTTCTGAGATTGTGCTGGGCTTCCCGATTATGATGAGCGAAGATGAGAAGAGTGCTGTGCCGAAGCGAGAGAGCCAGCAGGTCTACGCATTTCTCCCTATTCGTGATTATGGATTCGAGGTCAATACCTCCCTCACTTGTGCCCTGAAGCTCGCTCATAGTGCTAACGTCCAACAGTTCCTGATCCAAGCCGACTTCCTCCTCATCGCGAGCCGCGAAGACATCGACTCCTCCGCAGAATGGAACCACCGTATCCAGCGCGAGCTAACCATAGCCTTTATCGACACGATGCGAGAGTTCAATAGCAGCGAGTTCCGCTACACGTGGCCACGCTGGCTGCCCACCCGCGCCCCGCTCGACAGCTTCCTGAAGCCCTTTCACCTGGATCTAATCACCATGCTGCGTTCCGCAAAACTGCTGTACGCACATGCTGGCGAGCTGGCCGTCCCGTCTCAGTTATGGCAGGTGCCGGAGGAGTATTGCTTCAATGGGGCTCCGTTGACCATTAGTTCGGCTACGGCGACGGGTTATCTGAGTGATTTGTATGAGGAAGAGGACATGGAGTTTTTGCAGGTCATGGGTGTTTCGAAGATGTTGGAGTGGAAGTTCTTCGCGCAGTTCAAGCTTTTGCTGCAATGTGCGCCACAGGAGTTCCAGGAGAAGACGGCGGAGTGGCATTCGCATCTCGCGGGCGTCTTGGTGCGGTTGACGAAGATATATGCTGATGGACTGGTCGATCTCCCGATTGTGCCGCTCAGTGACGGGACTTGGGTTCGAGCGAAGGGCAACCTCATCCTGTTCCCCTCGAAGGATCCTAGGTTCAACATCCCAGGCGGTCTGGAGCTACAGATTCTGGATAGCGCAGTCGCGTCCGATCCTGCCAGACATCAATTGCTGAAGTTCATGGGCGTTGAAGAACTCCAGAAGGATCCTGTCATCGAGCACATCCGAGCCTTGCATGTGGACGGACGCGCATGCAATGGCAGCATGATCAGTCGCAAGGAGCTGATCGAACAGATATACTTCCTGTATACGTCTCAGGAGAAGAACCCGTGCTTCCAGGATTACTGGTTCGTGGCGGAGTCTTCGAGGCGTGTGCGTGGGTCGGTGCTGTACCAACCCTCGACCAAACCGCACTCGGCGTCTTTTTATCTTGCGAAGAACAGCAAGATAGAATTCCTTCATCAAGACTACTTCTCGGCAGCGAGTGAAGGGGGAGAGGCGTGGATGGCGTGGCTGGAGGAGAGGATGAAAGTCGCTAGCATCCCGAGACTTGTAGAGCTGACTACTGAGGGAGGCTTCAAGTTTTCCGAGGATTTCGAGTACATCATCAAGACGTACAAGTCCTCGGAGGTTTTGCATCTACTACGAGCACATTGGAAGGAATACAGTAAGCTTTTCGATCCAGCGGCAATAAGCAAGTGGAGTTCAGACCCGTCGATGGGCATTTACAGCTCCGATCAGTATATCGCTTCGGCGATTCGTCTGAAGCAGAAGCTGGGAGCTTTGCTTGTCACTTGCACGGATGGAAAGACGCACCGCCTTGATAGCACGTATTTGGCGACTCGGGATCTGAGGTCTGTGGGTAGGGATGTGCCATTTGTTGATATTCCTGATCCGGATCACACTGATTGGAAAGTGCTCGAGATTCTTGGTGTTTCGATCAAAGTCGATATTCATTTCCATCTTCGCAGCTTGGAGGAACTCTCGAAGTCGAAGCCATCTGACAAGACCTTTGAAACCTACACGTCGCTGCTAGAGACGATTTTAAACCGCTGCCATGACGAGGTCGAGGCTGCTGCTGTCAAGTAAGTACTCAACGTATCTCCAAATTGCGAAGCTAACACCCCCAGGACATTTTTCATGACAGGGAACTATATCTACATACCATCCATTGGCAGAAGCCCAGCGGAATGGATTTCTCAAGACCGCTGCCGATGGAGGGGACCACGCATGCAATCCATTCTCCCCGCTTACAGCGAGAAAGGCAAAGCAGCAGAACCCATCATCACCACCTTCCGAACCTTCAAACCGCTGAAATCCCTCTATCCAAAATTCAAACCCCTCTTCTGGAACATGCTCGACATCCGAAACGCCAACCTACGCGATCTGGCCGGCGAAGCGCGAGCCTTCCAACCCGGTGATTCATTAGCAACAGTCACAGCCATCTTCAAAACGATGTCAAAGCTGATGGAAGAAGACAAGGCCAAGTTTTTCCAGACATACATCAAGAAGGATCTGGAGAAGGTGTTTCCGGTGTCGAAGATCTGGAAAACGGAGAGCGAGGTCGTGACGAAGATTGAGAGTATGGCGGAGGGCAGCGAGTGGTTCATCGCGGACACGGCGTCGTTGCGGACGACGTTTGCGGGAGTGGTGCCGCTGCTTGATATCAAGGTTGACGATCTGGGATCTATGGATGAGTTGTTGCGGGAACTTGGTAAGTTTCCACCGTTCCCTTCTCACATCATTCTCTTGCTTTTTGGGGAGGGAAGCGACTGACATGAGATAGGCCTCTCGAAACGCTTCCTCAGAACGCAAGCCAAGAGCATGGCAAAATGCAACGGAAACGTCGAACTCAACCAGGAGCTCACTGAAATTCTCCGCCGGAAAGTAGATTTCATCATCCGGCTCATCCCAACCACCAAGCATCACCGTGATGCGCGCCGCATCGTCATCCGCCAACTGCGCAACTTGGAAGTCTACGTTGCGGACGAAGTCGTGCAGCACTTCCGCGTCTTCTACAAGAATAAATGGGTGTCCGGGCCGGCCGGAAACGGGCAGGTCGCTCTCGCGGCCGAAGAAGACAGACTGAAGATCTACTTAGCGGCGAAGGGGGGGTCCGAGATGGACTCGCTGCCGAGCGAGCTGGTGGATGAGCTGTATATTTTCTGCGGGATGGGGCAGGATGGGCCGCAGCATAGCGAAGTTTGCTTGTATATTGCGCTGAGCCAGCATGATCTTGCGCGGGTGGCGAGGACGTTTGGGGAGAAGGGGGTTCCGAGTCTGGAGAGCTTGGCGTTTGCTGATGAGGAGGATTTGGGGGTGGAGGAAGATGAACAGGAGACGCCTGGGCTGAGAGATGCTGCTGAGAAGAAGAAAAAGGGGTGGACGTGGAAGGGGAAAGGATTGCAGGATCACGGGTCTCTGCCGACGTTGAATATCGAGAACGCTGAACCAAGCACGAAAGTTCCCGAACCCAAGAAGCGACACGAAGTCTTCGGTAAACACCTTTCTACGGCCAGAGCAGCGGGTCTCGGCGTCGCAACCATCGTCGGCATGCCTTTAATGTTGATTGGCGGGATTGGGTATGGAGTCTACACCGGCTTCCAAGCCATCAAAGGACCGAACAAGTTCGACAATGAGCACGACGGCGGTTTTGCGGGGAGGAGAGCAAAGAAAACAGCACAGAGAAAGAAGAAAGCTGCCGCAAAGTCGAGAGCGCCGAAGATCAAGGCTCCGAGGATTGGGCCGAATGGGATACAACGGTTCGAGAGGTCGGTATCAGAAGGATTTATCCGCATCCAGCGCGTCATCGGTGCCTCGGCTGTAAACAAAGATATTGCATTCAGAGGCGAGCTTGCCGTAAGTACCCGCCTTCTTCCCTCTTCCCTCTCTCCACCTCAAAATTCCAGCCCAAGAGGAACAAACAAACCAGCTGTGGCCAAATATACTAATCCACCCAACCACCTCAGGTCCACCAAGCCCTCACCGCAACCCTCGGCCAAACTTACAACGCCACGCACCATTGGCTCAGCGCCCACCGCCGCCTCGCTTCCTTCCCCTCTTTCCCCAGCTTATCCTCTCAAAGCCCAAACACGCACTCTACCTTCAAGTTCCCCGACCCCAGCGGCGCATTCACGCACCTGCTCGCGCAGACCGCGTACCCCCCCGCTGCGCACTGGACGGCCCAGCCGCCAACCTACCACATCGACGTGAAGAGCAGCGCGGGGGGACTCGCCTCCGAATTCGCAGTTACGGGGGCGGAGTTAAGGAGAGCGAAGGAGATGAGTGCGGTGGTGAGGATGGGGAATGTAGCGGACAGAAAAGGAAAAGGGAAGGAGGAGGAGGGGGAGAGTCCTCCGCGTGATGTGTATGTATTGGCGCGGGTGTACGATGTGGATGTTAGTTCGCAGAATAGCGTTGATGGTGATGGGAAAGGGAAAGGTAGAGGAAATGGGGACGAGGGGAGTAAGTTGTTGTTCCTGGTTGATCCGTGGGAGTACTATCACAAGGAACGACTGCTGTTGAGGTGTGAGGGGCAGGTGTTTGGATCCATCGTTTAATCTTAATCAATCCAGCATGTCAACAATATGGCGGCGCATAGTGCGCGGGTTGTTGAACTGTAACACGGGGATAGAAAGATGAATAGAATGATTCCTGATTCTAGTCTGATGAACTCGAAGAGTAGCCTTCTACTTATCCATCTAGAAAAGTCTTGACACGTAATTGGTCTATCATCTAATTACATCCGACACTTTTATTCAAGACTTATTTAAATTGAAAAAAAATCCTATTGAAGTTGATAAATAAGGCTCCTACTGAAAGTGGGTCCGAAGAAGCAAGAAAAACATAAGAGTAATATAAGGATAAAAATAGCAAAGGCCGAAAAAGAAAAAAAAAACTAATTTAAGTGCTTGCTTATTTAAAAACATTACAACTTTTAACTTTCGTTTTTTCGTTTAGCTGCATTTAAAAAAGCCTTCTTTCTTTAAGTAAACTATCTTTTTTCTTTGCCGGCTGTTACGATAGTAACCGCGCTGTGACGACCTTAAGCGATTACCTGAAGGAACTTACGGGAGCGCGGGGTTCATATAGGAGCTCAGAAGGATCTCAAAGTAGGCTGCTCCATAAGGTGGGGGCCCCATGGGGTTTTCCTCCCCATTCCCCCCATAGGGTCTTGGCCGATAGGGGACTTTTTTTTTAAAACCCTATAAGGAGGAGTTTTTTAAGTCAAATTCCTTAGTACTTACGGGGGATAAGGAAACCTTATGGGTTTAAAGTAGGACAACTAAAAATAATATAAGCAGGGCAGCTGAAAATAACAAAATATTATAAATTTACGAATTATATTTATTTATTATATTTATTTATTATATTTATTAATTATACTTAGTAATTATATTTACTTATTATATTTACTAATTATATATATTACATTTTACAATTATATTATGCATTATATTATAATAAACTAGAGTTATGACGACACGCCAGGTCTCTTGGACGCATCCCTATATGCGCTAAGCTACCTTTCTCCTTTTTTCTTTCGTATTCTTCGTATTCTCTTATTCTTTTCTTTTGACCTATAAACCATAATTCACGAGTCCTTAGCGCTTCTACTTCCGTATATATAGACTTTAGCTACCTTCGACCTTTACACTCGATAGTTGTTGATTTTAAGTTATTACTTTAAGATTCTCTTAAGCTCTTATATAAACCTTCGCGCTTTCGCGAGTTCTTTTAAATAATCGCTTAAAGTCGTTACATTATTAACAACTACTTTACTCCGCCGAAAACGGCTTTAATAATATTCCTTTTCTTTAAAATTCTTTAATAGTTAAACGTCAAAACACTTAGACGATTCTAACGGTTACGAGAAAGCTTATTTTAAGTATAATTTAAAAAATAGCACTTACACAATATAGCAATCTTCGCTTTGCGAGCAAAATCCTTCGCACAATTTTTAAAGCTGCTTTAGCAGCTCCTTTCTTTTCTTTTACGGCTTAATTAGCAGTCCTTTTTATTTAAGAAAAAGCTATTAGTAAGCAAGACGATAAAAATAATCTCTCGGCTTTTACTAACCTTAAAGAAGCTTTAATTTAATACTAAGCTCTCTTCTAGTTTTAACGAAAGGCCGCTAAGCTTAAAAAGCTTTTCGCAGATATAAAAACCCGCAACGAAAAGCTCGATAAAAGCGCTAGCGAGCAAAAAGCTTTTGCTAATAAAGCTAAAAAAAAAGCCCGTCGAGCTCGAAAAGAACTAAACTAGCTTTAAGCGGTCTTGCTAATTACGAAACGCTCGTCAAAGCCTTTTTAAGTGTCTTTCGAAGATAATTTTAAAAGCAAAGAGCTATATAAGCCTTCGGTCTTTTAAGCTACTTTTTTATTATTTACGAAACCGCTAACCTTCGCCGCTTTTTCGCCGACGACGACGAACTATTTTCTTTTTATAAGCTAATTAACTTTCGCACTTTAATTAAGTTTAACACTTTTAAAGCTTTTTCTTTAGCTTCTTAAAGTCGCGCTCGTATCGAGCGGATCTTTAACTTTAAATAAAAGCTTTTAAACGGTATAAGCTATTAAGCACGTTATTAGCAAGCTTGCGTTTTCGATAATTTAAAAGCTTTCGAAAAATACTTTTTTATAAAACGCTAACGCAAGAACTACGTCTTTAATTAAACCGAAAGAATAGCTTACTTATTCTTAGCTTTTTCAATTATAAATCGTAGCAACTGCGTAACCGCTTTAGAACTCGTTTAAATCCCTTTCGAATTTTTAAACGACTTCGTTAAAAAAGTTAAAGCGTTAATTAAGTTCGAAAAACTTTATATAAAGCTTAATTAGCAATTCTAAAACTTTTATTTTGCTTTTTCGAAGCTTGCTGCTACCGCTAAAATCAAAAACGAAGATCGATTACGTAAAGCTTTGCGTTTTAAGATTATTAAAACGCTACGCGATTAGCTTTACTTAAAATTTGCTAAGATTACAACTTTCAAAGACTTTCAAACCGCCGTCTAGCAATTAATTGCTAGCTAATACGCGTCCGCAAAGCTTTACGATATTTTATTGTCACCTACGGTGACCTAAGATAAATTCCAATAATTGTGGTAGTGATTAGTCATTCAATCACGTGAAATTTTCTATACCGATCTAGCAGGATTTCTAAGCGTGCTAAGACTTTTTTTCCATGTCAGTCTATTGAACTTTTTCGGAAAGGGTCGGCCCGAATTAAATATGAAACACAGCTAAGCTCAATTCAGCTCCCGCGGCACCGCTATTAATTCTGCCGTACGTAACGCACGTCGCTGCCACACGTAACCTACGTAAGGCTGCCACACGTAACGCACGTCGCTGCCACACGTTACTTACGTAAGGCTACCACACGTAACGCACGTCGCTGCTATACGTAACTTACGTAAAGCTGCCATACGTAACGCACGTCGCTGCTTTACGTAACGCACGTCGCT